GCTTGTGTGGGGCTGAGCTCGTACACGCCGCCCCTTTCGCCGCCGCGATCGGTGCTTGCGTTCTCACTTCTCTTGTAGCTCCCGTCCAACTTACTAGACCTGAAGATGATGATGGCGGCGGGGCCATCGATTCTACCGATACGAGATTCGCCGTCATGGGGATCATCGGCTTCATCCCTTACTTTAATTGGTTGGTGAGTTGATTCTACTGTATCTTCCATTCAATCTCAATCTTTCGGATGCATGATTAAGCAGTTGTTTGTGCACCAGAGCTGGGTGTTTGCTTGGGTTGATACCAGCAGACCGCGCTATCTTCTGTACTCCATTGTTTATTTGGCTCCATACTTGAGGTATTGATTGTTTCTGTAACTTTGAATCTGATTTTCTTTTGATTGATTTTTCATCTTCTTATGTTAGAACTTAGAAAAAGGGCTTATTTAGTCTTTTGTAATTCCTATTTCTGCTGCCACTATCTTTGAAAGAAATCCTGTTGGTTTGAACGAAAAAATGGGGTTTTTTCTTTTTAAAGAAGCTTATTTTAGAAAGAAAGAAAGAAATTTAGCATCCATACCACGCAATTCTTATGTGTTTATATATCTAACAACTAAAGTTTGATATTTGAATTGTGTCACCTTTGTAGATAAAAGAGAGGCATAAACGTTGGCATTTCATAATTTGTGATATTCTTAGCATTAATTATTACTTATTTAGAGATGATATTTTTTTATGTTTACATGCTTAATTCTTAGCATATGAATTTTTCATTTTCATTTTATTTGTTCAACATAATTTATCGTAGCTTAGAAAAGAAAAGATTTTGGGTTTCATCTCCTATACACTATAATCTTCTTAAGTTGTCAATCTGCATTGTTAATACTCTTTGAGGGAAACTCTACTTCTGAAGCGTTCTTGAATAGCCAGAATAGCTATTTGGCGTGATAGAAGTTCACTATAGCGTTTAAAGAACTTTGTTTCAGTTTGTTATTACGAACCACGGTAATAATTCTTATAAACTTTGGTTATTATGCGATTTTTATATAGGTCTCATTTATATCTTCTATGATTAATTTCAATGCAGTCTAGGTTTGCATCAATGATTGTGTGATTTCAAATTATATGAACATATTAGTATTTTTTTTTATTATTGAAACCTTTGATGGTTGACAGGATATAATTAAGAAAGATTTACATACTTGCTACTCAATTCTTGTATATTTACATATCATATTGCATACACCACAATTGTCAGCACGAATCTCAAAGCATTCAAACGGTTCATATGACGACCAAGAAACCAAGTCGTTTTAATGTTTCACTACCAACCGCGTGGTCAAGAATTGACTGATACACTATAGTGAGAGATTCGAGTGATAGGCCACGCTGACAGTCCCGACTGACTAAGGCTTGGACAGGAATCATTGATCGCCACTAATCAGACGACCTGCCTTACTGTAGCTGACAAGATCAACACTCAACCGAACCGTGCGGCCGCCAACAGTCGATCACCTGAGTCGGTCGAATTCAAGCAAGTCGGTTCGCCAATTATCACCATGTTAAAATTCAAATTGTAATACTGATATGAAATCCATAAGATTAATTAGAGCATCAATTATATTAAGAGTCGTTTTCATAACTGCTTCATCCTTTCTATAATATAAAATATGATTTTATAAATAGAACACAAAAATACGAATAAAATGACCTTTTATTGAGTCTCTCTACAGTAAACTTCTGACTTGCTATACTCTCTTTCTCACTTCTTTCATTCACTCAATGTTAAACTCTCGGGACGTGTTCACAAAAGATATTTTAGTATCCAACATTCTAAAAGGTGATGCGGTGAGCATGAATATGCCACAAGCGAGAAGTGGAAAAGACTATGAAAGAGAAACTTCTCGAAGAGAGATAGCACGCATGAAACCCAATAGAGATGCTACACAACCAGATATTCATGCACAAGTCCAGGGCTTAAAAGCCCAAATGACCCTCATTATGGAACATTTTGAGATACTCTGAGTAGCAATCACCCAGAGGAACAACCATCCAGTCCGTTTGGAGGCGGAACCTCAGGGTGTTCGTCCTCAAAGGGCCCCAATGGAGTACCCCGCCTAATCCATATAACCAGGTCAACAACCAGTAGATAGGGGCAAGGCAAGTCCTAACATATCGACATAGCTGCGTCTATGCAAGCAAACAGTGATGGGAAGAGTGTATGCGAGCGCTTGTTCGACCTCTCGCAGGAGGGGCTTTTGCGCACTAGATGAAAGTATCTCCTCCCGAGTGTCTATTTCGACTCGGGCTACGTTCGACACTCGACTCGGAGAAAATCCCTCCCTTTGACACGCGACTCGAAGAAAAAAGAAACTAAAGATGCGCGGGCCTCGGAGATCTATCGGCACCCGTCGACGGAAGATCGCCCCCGCTCCCGGCCGAATGGAAAGTCGGCCAATCTCGCCAATTTTTTGCAAAGCAAATGCACATGATGAGAAGGTAAGGGGATGGGACAACATTAAATGGGACTCACTCGTTGAAAAGCTTGAGGAGGGCCCATTTAATGATGGCAGCTCAACATATTGAAAGGACGCCTCTACAGTTGATTTCCCGAATAAGGAAAGAGATGTCACATTCAAACATGCTTTTAAAGCATCCCTTATTTAATTCAATGGACTCATTCCCGATACTCACAGAAATGAGCCCAACCATGTATGTCTCAAATACTCGATAAATTTGGGAAACATACGGCGACCGAACAAATGCAATCGATTGGAGATCGCAAGACGATCAAAAGGTCGAGCCATCCCTCGAACTAGATGCCCCAAAAAACCCACTAGTCGGGACACACGTGGCATTCTCTCATGCTCTCTAGCAACTCTCTAGCAAAAACATTCGCAAAAGAGACCCATCGTCCCTCAAAAGTCCCAAGTGTACACCCTCTCAAGCGACAATAAGATCCATGTCTGACGGATGACAAAGGGATAAAGACCCGCACGAGCGGGCAAATCCAATGCAAGTTCTCGGAGGTCCAGAAAGATGACCACATAATATCACCATGAGCACCAACAATCCTAGAGAAATCGATTGACCTATCAGTCGCTGCTTCAGGAGGTGGGCAATCAGTTGGGAAACTTAAAATACATTCCGGCCATGGGCTAACGTGGAGTTTATATAATAAATTATCTAGGGATGAAGTGAAAAATCCTCAAAAAGGGTGCAAAAGTCACCCCAAAAACTCTGGTCATCACCCTTAACGAGATGATCCGTGTCGTGACAAAAAATCAATCGGGACTAATAACCACTTAGGGTTCTTTTGGGGCGACGACAGAGCTGCGGTGCGGTACCGTGCCACCTTTTTGCTATTTGGGACAGTGGTGTCGTCGCGGCCTGCCGCGATTTACCCCGAACGCAGAAAGCTTCCAATCAGCCGTGACCTAACTTTCTCCTTCAGCTTCGAAACATTCGGCCCCGTGACCAACCTGGAAGTCACGATCTCTCCTCTTCCTCCTCTTCTTCGAGGTTGCTCACGATACTTGCTCTGCGTCTATTCCTCCATCGTCTCCGTCGCATTCCCGTTCACGGTCTTACACAGTGTCGTATCCTTCCCGCACACCTTTACCCCGCACCCAACCTGCGTCTCTCCCTCCATTCTCCTCATGCCTTCTTCTGCGCAGTAGGTTTTCTCGAACACCAGCCCAACTCCAGCGCGTCTCCCTCACTTCTACCTACCGCACGATAGTTCAGCTCCTGTCTCCAGCCCGCCTCTCTCCACTATGCTTCGACCAAGGTGATTAATCCACTGTGCTTCAACCAAGGTGATTAATTTCTCCTGGTGAAGGTTAGATCTCTCATCTGCTTCGTTGTGCACACATCTAGCCTGTCTCGATTTTGTTCAGTTCAATGCTTTTCCAATTTACAGAAAAATAAAACAAAATATACAGGATGGATGTTAAAAATACCTATTTACATCAAAAATATGTATTTATATATCTAACTGCTAAACCTTCATTTTCACGTATATGCCATCATGTACATGCAATAAAAGGTGCATTTAAATTAAAATAGTGGTATTTTTTATATAAAATGAAAGACCTGGGTGGTTTAAATGGAAATAAAAAAACAAAATTTTGGTTTTTTTTTTTCTTTAGCACTTTCGGTACTCACTGGTAAGTGAGTTATGTATTTGAACTTTTCAATTGTTTTAAGTGAATTTTTGCTTCTAAAGTATCAAAAATATGATTGTCATAGTTTTGTTTCAAACAACTTAACTAAACAGAAACAAAATTGTCAATTTTTCATAAACAGCTACCTTACAATTGTTTCCACACAGCTGCAACAAACAATCAGTCAGATTTCCCGCAGCAGCTTCCCTACAACAGTTTCCTGGGGCCGCTAGCTGAAAAGCTAAGAAGCTGCAGTTGCCCCAAACAAGCCACGACAGACTGTCATCACACGGGAGAAATAAGAGTTAACCGACAGAAGCATTATGATTAAGTTAGTTTCTCATAATCTATGGGCCTACCCGAGAGCAAGTTTCTTTAAAGGGTTTATGTCTCAGATAAAATAAAAAGTTTCACAAACCAAAATAGCAAAAATAATTGCAATGCAATTTTTTTTTCCTTCATAGGAAGAAAATAATAGCAATCTTTTTGCACAATGCTAAAAACTTTTTAGACATAAGATGGAAGAAGAGAAGTCCTCATCTTTGTAGGGTCATATCGGGTAGCCGACTCTTCCTTGCTTCCCGAACTATCTCTCTCTTTGGGACTCTCTGCGAGCTCTTCTCGGGTTAAAGCGGAGAACTCCCTCTGGTCATAGTACTTAGGGTCCACTAACCCACAACGAATGAATTGTTGAATGGCCCCAAGGTTAAAGTACTCCGCCCTACCATTCTCGTACTATTCTCCGGAGCCCGATGAGGCAACCTTCTCTTTCAACTCAGCGTTTTCCTTCTCCAGAGTCGCTATTGTGCCGAGGGATTCTTTGTTGCCTTCGCGAACTTATCAAACTTGAGCTTCATAAGGTTTTGATCGTCGCGAGCCCTTTTAAGATCCGCCTTCAGCGAAACTTCCTCCTTCTGGGTTTCCTCCAGCGACTGCTCCACCTCAAGCCCGTAACCCATCTTCGTTAGAATTTTGGGGTCTACATGGAGCTCCCTCAAATCGTGTCGGCCATAACTCAAATCGACTGATCAGAGAAAAATGCGACAGTGGATGTAATGCTAAGCCTCTGACTCTATTTATAGAGCATGTTGGACACAAAATTCTAGAGGAGTTGATTATTAAATTGACTTTCTTGATCTTAGTACCATTGATTACTAATAATTTTCTTGTTCTTATCGTAGTTGTCACTTTTAAGGAACGGAAAAATTTAGGGAACTAATATGTGTACATCACAACTATCAACACAAATCTTAAAGCATTTGAATGGCCTAAAACAACGGTCAGACAACCAAGGCTTCTTACTACCCTACTGTAAATCACGTGGTCAAAAATCGACCAACACATTATAGTGAGAAATTCGAGCGGTAGACCTTGTCGACAATTTCGACTAATCGGGGCATAGGTCGGGGAATCCTTGATTGCAGTTAATCAGATGACCCGCCTTTACCGAGGCAGACGAGATCAACTCATGACGCGATCACCATTTAGTCAGTCACCTCAGATGGTCGAATTAAAGCAAGTCAGTCAGTCAATTACCTCCTTGTTAAAATTCAAATTGTAATATAAATATGATATGAAATTCATACGATTAATTAGAACATTAATTATATTAAGAATTATTTTCATAATTGTTCTCTCATTTCTGTAATTGTACAAAATACGCCTCTAAATAGCAGACAAAAATACGAATAAAATGATGTTTTACCAACTCTCTACAGAAAACTCCTAACTTACTATACTTTCTCTTCATTCCTTCACTCAATCCTAAATTTTTGGGGCGTGTTCACAAAGGACAATTTAGGATCCAACACACACACGTGTGTGTGCGCGCGCATGCGTGTATGTGTGTGTGTGATATGAAAGATTTCATGGATATAAATGTAAAAATGTAAAAGTTTAGGTGTTATATATGTAAATACATAGGAATTTGGTGATAGGGATGTAAATGCCCCTTTTTTTTATTGCTCACAGTTTCTGACAATTTTGTGCTTAAAAGGCCATTCGATCAACGAAAACAGCTTTCCGAGAGATACTTCCTGTACTGAACCTGCTGGCATGGTTAAGAAACTGAACTTATTTATCCTGCGTGTATTAGAAATAAAAAAAATATAAAAAAAAAACTTCATTAAATTAATTTGTATATTTACACTTTTAACACCTAAATTTTCATATGTACATGCATAGCACTCATATATCTTATATCTCATAAAAAAAAAAAAAATACCACCATGGCAATATTACAGGGCTCTTAGACGGTGTGGGAGAGTTATAGAATAGGTAACTAGAGTTAGGATGACTAATGTCGATTGAAATTCTGCGTGAACGAAGGCTGGACAGCGAGCCGGCAGCGGAAACGGCAGATAGCAACGGATTCAGAGAGCAATGTAGCCTTTGGACTTCTAAGAGATCACCATCTCGATCCAATCATATTACAAACATACCACATGAGAAAAATCATAGGATATAACATTAATAGAGAAAACAGAGAGTAAGAAATATCCACTTAACACAAAATTGAGCAAAAGTCTGCGCAACCAGGTTTCAAGCAACATAGTACTTATATTAGGGTGTCAATTAAACATAAATCTAATCACTAATATTAAAATAATAATAAGAAAAGTCCCACGCTGCTAAAACAGCCAAGGGGCGAGAAAATACTCCTTGCAGTTTTGTAGCGGGACTTGATTTCGTCCGGCTTCGATTGTCGGATTGTGGAATGCGAGAGCTCCCATGTCACAATCATTTAAAATTGAAATATAACTTTTCATGCATAAATTTAATTAACGAAAGTGTTATAAATTTAAATATGAAAGCTTTGGTGTTAGATATGTGAATATATAAGAATTGTGTGGTATGTACGTAAATTTCTCTTTTTTTTATGTATAATTTTGGCCATAACTCCGTTTAGAGTCATTGAATTGCCGTATCAGAATGTCTAAACTTTTGTTCAAGTGTAAACATGGAAAGGATTTTGGCCTTCTTGCTGTCTTTGAGAAAATAACTTTGATCTATTTTGTTTGCCAAGAATGCTTATAGGATATTCAAATTACAGTACTTTCTCATATTTTCATATACTATGAAAGCGGTCATCACTGAATGATGCAAAGTATCATACTAAAGTTGAGAAATCTGAAACACTCTACTATTGCTGCAAGGCCTAGCTAGTCAAGCTCACGTATCACTGTTCTTCTCATTAAATTGTTCCTCAGAAGCATGACTTTATAATCCATAAATTTTGAAGGGGCAATTACATACTCCATTCTTTAAGTTCTTATATAAATATTGAAATTACATACTCCATTCTTTAAGTTCTTATATAAATATTGAAATTCATAGACCCTAATTTGTAGTGCTACAAATATACACATACATGCATATGTATACATATATGTGGTGTATGTTTGTATATATATAGATATTTATGTATATATGTATGCATGCATGTATGCCGAGCAAGTGGTTGTGAAAACTCAGCTTGAGCTTTATTCGAGCTTTTTATGGTAGTGTTCAAGCTTGTGCACATTTATAAACAAGCTTGGTTTAAGCTTGAATCAAGCTTTTGTACACTATGATTAACAAGCAAATATAATCGAACCGAGTTTGTTGTGCATAGCAAATAACACACTTATCAAGCCAAATTTGTTCACATGTTGCTTCTCTTGTTGATACCTTCACGAGCATCAAGTCTTTAATCCAGCTTTATATTGAGCCTTAATCAAATTTGTTCATGATTTTAAACAATATTATTTATAATCATAAATGAATAGAACAACAGATTGTTCAAATTTATTCTTTTAACAATCGAGTATTTATAAATTTGTTCAAGCTTATACAACTAGTTAATTAAACAATTATGAATAAAGCAGATTGTGGAACACTCGTTCATTTAGAGCTCTGCCAATCTTTTTTTTTTCATTATTTTTATTTGGTGTTTTATTCAAATGTTTGATGATTTGATTGTGAAAAGATCATATTTTTCAATTATCAAGGACAAATCTGTCACTATCTTTGGATGAAAGTTGGATGCCTATTGCCAGTATACTTGCATGCATCATTCACATTCAGGTATAATCTAAACTTCATTTTATGCTTTTAACACCTCATTATTATTGTTGTTTCAAATAAGTATAACGTTGTACCTCTTGTAGCTGGAAGCGAACCTCAGAAATGGAGATCTTGAGGGCCTGGCTTTCTTTAACAAAGCTTCGAATTTGATGTCTCCCTTCCTCACAGCAAAGAAAGATTCTCTCAGAGGTCACGGCAAATCATCTGAGGTACCCTGCCCCATTTTTTTCAATATATATATATATATATATGACAAATACTGCTTGTGTCATTCTCCTTATTGACTTCACTCTTGCTACTTTTTAGCGGGGGAAGAAGCAATAAGCATGTTCTATCATCAGTTTGCTGAAGAAACAAGCAGCAGGTTTCCCACCGAAGAAACTGATGGACCATAACAGAATGAAGACCAAGGAAACAATGGAGGACATGTGGGAATTGTAAGAAACATGTTTGTAATGTGAGAATTTTATAAATTGAGCTAAAGAATCATCTAGCAAATATGCATGAGCAAATGTATGTACATCCAATACGCCAATCATGGACTTGAACTCAGTCTAAAAATAACTCTTTTTTTTCTTTTTTTCTTTTTTTAAAAAAGATTTGCATACTCAATTTCTACGCCTCTTACACCAAAATTTCAACTTTTACATACATGTCATCTTACTTGTGCGTTAAAAGAAGCATTTTGATTTTTAAAAAGTTAAAATTATGGTAATTCTAATGTCATTGGGAAATTTAAGTTGACATAAATATAAAAAATAAAGTTTAGGTTTTTGATATATAAATACACACAAATTGGGTGGTTTATAACGTAAATGCCCTTCAAAAATATTCAATGCTAGATAAATCGATTGGAACCCTGCAAGTAGATTTGGTTCTTAGGTTTTTGAACTCGGGTTCCATTCAGCTTCTTCGACGGCAAAGTAAATGTTTATGAAAAATTATGACATGTTAAAAACATAAATATATATAATGAGACGACCCCTCCAATATAAAAATTAATAATAATAATAATAACAAATCGCTTCAGCATTACAATTTTTTAGTCCCAAATATTCAATAATAAGAAAATTGCGTACATACCACACAATCCATATATATTCACATATTTAACCCCTAAATCTTCATATTCATATTTATAACACCTTTTATTGTGTCATAAACCCATGAATGAACAGGTGGATTTCACTTCTAAGACAATAATGATATTACTAATGTGATATTAAAGATTTTGAATACTTGTATAAATATTAAAAGTTTGTTTGTGTTAGATATATAAATACATAAGAATTTTGTGGTGGTATGAATAACTTACCCTCAAGTTTCTGCATCATTTTGAAACTTTGTGATTGCCATCACCATCACCACCACCCATTTTCTTCTCAGCGGCGCGCTCTCCTACCACTGCCCGTGCCAACTCTCGCTGCATATTTAGCTAAAGCAGCATCTAACCATCACCATCACCATCACCACCACCCATTTTCTTCTCAGCCGGGCGCCCTCTCCTACCACTGCCCGTGCCAACTCTCTCTGCATATTTAGCAAAAGCAGCATCTAAAGCCGAACGAACACTGACGCTGCGTTCCTTCTCAGCTTTAGGAGCATCACACCTCCCCTCATCCATTTCTGGCTTTCCTTCATGGGCTTTCAGAGCCTCATTAGCTTCTCTTTTGGCCTTTTTGCTGAAGGCCTCGGGTATTGTAACGGTTGGGGGTCGAGTAGAAACTCTTCGGAATGGCTCGTTGAATGTATCGTGAAGGCGTTTCAACTGCAACCAACATGTGCGGCCCAGACATAGGATAGCCCCATAAACTATAATAATATAAAAGAAGTATTTTACATGTAGATACATGTAATTATTGTATAAATGTAGGGGCATTTATGTATATACCGCCCAATTCTTATGTATTTATTTGTACATATCCAAGATCTAAACTTTTTTTTTTTCAATTATATCACTAAAATCATTCATATTATACTAAAAATAACATTATTTTCACGTTTTTTTATAAAAAAAATGAAATATAACTTTTCATGCATAGAGAATGAGTCATATATATATAAATTGAAATTTAGGGGTTGGATATGTAAATACATAAGAATTAAGTGGTATGTGTTGTAATTCTCCGATAAATTTAATTTAATAAAAAAAATTTCTTTTATTTATATCAGTAAATTTTCAGAGTAGATGCATCCATTAAAAATATGAAACTACATTGAAAGCATAAAATTCCTTGACTATTAATTTCATTATAAATTTAACTCATGATAAAAATCAAAATTGATGCATAATACATCAGATAAAAGAAAAAAAAAAGGAATAATTGCATATAGACCATCCAGACCACACGAAACATTGATATTTACAAATTAACCACTCCGGTGATATTTTTGAACTACCAAACAACTGTATTTATGTATGTCATGATCAAACTATTGAGAATTTGCTAAAAAAAATGAAAAATAGGAGTTGGTTGTTTATCAAGAATTTTGATATTTCAGTAAGAATTTGAAAAAAAAAGATGGAGGGTGGTTGATTTATAAATAGTAAGTTTCGGGTGGTTTGAATGTAATTGCCCCAAAAATTTATTGTGACACAAATGATAAGAATAAATATAAAAAATATACTATCATATATATATATATATATATACATATATATATATATATAGCTAGCTGCAGGGATTTCAACAATTGAGTGAAGGCCTAGTTTAGACCAAAAACCAACGTGACATGCCCTAATTTTTCAAAAAGGCAAATATTGAAATATAAAAGCACAAGCAGTTTGCAATTAACAGGAAATTTTTTTTCCAAGTGCTGTCATAGTTCTAAATAGAAGAAAATACCTTGCGCTCACCGATTCCAGGGCAACGAGCCAAATCTTCCATGGAAGCATCCATTATACCTGCAAGTGACTGCATCTCACAAATCAAAGCTGGGAACAGATTTATGCCCTAATTTTATGTGTTGCTAATGATGAAGTGATATAATTATTCTAACTATAATTATGGAATTTTTATCTATAAATATAAATAAGTATCAGAATTCTAGTTGGTGGATGCTTTATTAACTAATTTAATTTGGATCATTTGTGTTTTCTCACATTTAATTCAATTTGGTGGATGCTTAAGACATACGGTATACATACATACCACCTGATTCCTGTGTATTTACACATTCAACAGCTAAACTTTGGCTTTTTAATTTCTGAAAAATGAAGTACACATTTTCATGCATGGGTAAGATGGCATGCATGAAAAAAATTGAAGATTCATGTAAATACGTGAGAATTGAGTGGTGTGCATGTAAATCTTCCTTTATTATTATTTACTCGGACCCTCGCTCGCGAGCATCATAACTCTATCAACTATCAAGACCATTTATTGACATATAGAGCTAAAGATGACAAAGAAAAGTTCATAAAAGTAGTACCCCAAAAGTGGATCCAAGAGTCACCACGTCCGTCTTGTTAACATGTCGAACTGTTGTTAGTGCACGAGTCAGCTGCAAAATGACAAAGCTTCGATCAACAAAAGAAATGAAAAACTCAATCAGTATCAAGAATATCAACATTGAACCTAAAACAATGAGAAAAGTGTCTAAACGATCCTCACTCTTTGTCGGAGCTCATTTAGTCCAAGAGTCTATAAAAATGTTAATTTAGTCCTTGACTTTTTTAAAAGGGGCTAAAATAGTCCTCCTCAGAGACTATTTCAGCCCATATTAAAAAAATATGGGGATTAGTTTATTACTTTTATAGACTATGGGACTAAAATGAACCCATGTAAATAGTAAAAGCACTACTTCGACACTTTACTCCTAAAAAAACGATATGGGTTTTAGGTGATTTTGTTAAGAACAATATGAAATGGGCACAGAATGAAATAACAGGGAAAAAGCCACTTGTGCACAGGAATTGAGCCAAGAGCCTTAAGACTGTTAAAATTATTGCTTATAATAATCATTTTATGTGTGACAGGAGGGGTTCAATCGATTGCACAAAGTAAAACAATAAAATATGTTGGTAATTATATAAAAGGATGACCATCGGAAGGGGCATCATCATTGGAATTATCCCCACTAATTGGAGCCGGCATATACATACCCGTGATAAATAGTCTGTATCTGTTTGTTCACGGATACTATCTGCGGGTTTGTTTTCATATACTTTTATAGTCTCCAAGTATCGGCCACATTCTTCCAAGCTGTATGAAAAAGAAAGATCTATCAAGAGAGAGAATCGAGAAGATTTGAATTAAAAAATGAGAAGTTTATAAACTAAATAAGAAATAAATGCAAATATTTTAAAACACAGAGACACTTGCAAGAGTTTTCTTGTCATGGTGAACCCAGTTTTAAACACTTAGGTTACTCTAACATGACATGTTTGTTGTCATTTTGCATTACTCATTTAACTTTCCAGTAAACTTCTACCCTTAAGATCACATATTTAACTAATTTATATGCATGTTGTCAAGTCTGTTTGGCTTATAAAGTAAATCTTATTGGATTCACTTATTCTTCCTCAGTAATTATGGCTAAACAATATTGTTACTTCAAGTACTCCTAAATTTCATGCTTCACTGCACTATAACAAAAAACAACTTGACATATGCTGCTATCGTCAGCTATCATACTTTGAAAAGTATACTTATTATTGCAAAAATAAGTCTTACATGCATCATACTCTATATCATTGTAAGGTTGAGTTAATAGATTGTGTCATGTGATTTTTGTCCTGAACAGGGAAATCAAGGGTTACTCTTAAGCCAGAATGGTCTCAAAAATCTCCAATAACGTACCAAGTCATCACAATTTCTCTCAAAGGTCTTACTGAACTTAAAAGCTTCTTAATCAATTTAAAATATAGAACCTAAGCATATGACTAGAAAAGTTACTGGTGCATCAAACAAAATCAATGATAATAATAATCCAATGTACTTGTTTAGATACACAATTGTCTAAAATTATTTTAAGTAAAATAATACGAGGCATAATAAATTAAAACGTGAGCAATCTAATTTATGCATAATAAAATTACTATTACTTAAAACTATAGCAACAAAAATTTCTATTTAATTAAACAGATTCTACGTTAGAAATGCAAAAAATATAGTGATAGTGAGCAAAATGATTATAAGTTCAATTATATGAATTTTTAATATCAGATACTCCTTGCAAACACCAAAACTGCAATAGAATATGGAAGTGATATAAAGAAAATTACGTAAAAAAATGAGTGGTACACTAGTTAAGCATAATGATTATATTTACTCAATAACTTAGCATAAAAATCGTTAATCAAGTAGATCACCACATGACCATGAAGACATATTAATGATAAGTAAATGTGTAAAAACATAAACTACAATATAAAGCAATTGGACACAATCAAAATTAATGCAGCTCAATCACCACAACAATGCACAACAATGCCTACCCAACTCAGCAGTAGGATCCCTTCTAAAGCTTATCATCAAAAAATATTCTCCTTCGCTCTACAAGTAGACAGTCACTAGGAGCCACATTAAAACAGGCTATCAAAAACCACTCTTTCACACCACAAGTAGAGGAACTTTTTCACACTCTCTTTAACAAGTAATATAGACACGCCCTATATTTCTACTTCAACGTACAAAACAAGCTATATCTAGTCTTCTCCACTAGATCATAGCATTCTTCTTCAAGATGACGAACCTATCACTCATAATACTCTTAATGAGATCACAATATTCCCGCTTCATAGTGAAAAACCTACGACTTTTAGAACAACCCGTTAGATAATAAAAGCTATCATTAGAACCAAATCAAATCTAACGCGAGCTTTGGAGGTGACTCAATAGCTATTACATAAAATTATGGCTTACAAAATCCTTAATCAAAATTAATTGCAATACAGAGACAATAATAGCAACAAGTACAATACAACTTCTATAAGATTTGAGTAAAAAATACTTCACAAAAAACCAACGAAGATTTTGAATTGATGAAAATTTTTGTAGCGTTTATCCACATTCTCTTCAAAAGATATCACAACATAAGTTCACTTTTTCTTGATTTGTGCAGTAGATTATTTTCTTTGGAAGCTCTTAGATATTTATAACCATTAGCACTGTTAAAACCAGTTCTTAGTTATAGTTCCTAGTAATTACACTTAACAAAACCATTCATAATCAACAAAGTCAGGAAGATTGTATAGTATGAAACATATCATACTGTTTAATCATCGGATTGTACTCTTACAATCATAGTATACGATTTACATATGTCAACAAATTTAAACAATGATGATGTACAATCTACTCTATAATCCTTAAAATACTTTTGAATAATGCGCCTTCTGTGAGCTAATTATCAACATAAATTAAACCAAATACTAACACCAGATGACCATCTAATGCGACTTCTTGAGAAGCCACCGGCTGATAGGATTGTCTAGGAATAACATGTGAAATATAAAAGAGGCATTTATATACATAGCACACCATTATATATATAATCTGAAAATACTATTTCTGCGATAGATGAGAAGCTGGAGGCCCTGCTGAGCAACCTACACTTTCAAACCCTCCTCAGTTGCAGGAAGCATTAGGTGAAGAGGAGACAATTCATGCTTCACAGACACTTGAACCTACAGTCGTTGCAACAGTTGGCAATCCTTATTCTAGTTCTCAACAGTTTTTATCTGCCCGGCATTCTGTTTACCAACACGATGATCAGATGAGTCAGTCTTCTGAGAAGGAATGGCAGGTCTATTCAAGGAGGAAGAAGACAATTGGAGGCAAACTTCAGCTTGGGAACCTAACGGATGATACTTTGGTTACTTCGGGAAATGACTCGGCACTCAACAATTTGTTATCTGGATCTCGCCCTAGAACTAGAGGCAGAGGCATGACTAAACTGGCTCGTCCCTAGCTACTTCTTTTCTGCGATTTTGTTATCTTTTTTTTTTCTTTTATTTTTTTGGGTTTGGGTTTCCCTGTATCTTTTATCTTTTGGGGTGACTGTGTGTGTTGTATCGTATGGGTATGGTGCCTTTATTGAGCCCTCTCATACAACATTTATGTATCTTTCCTATTTTAATAGATTTAGCCCTTGGGCTTTTCAAAAATGTCTCCAATCACCTCCTCGAGATTCGTCGAGAAGCATTCTTGTTGTGCATAGTTCATTCTCCGATTCTCTTACTTCTTTAAGAGTGACAGTTGTCATAAGAATAAGAGAATTAAATAACATGACTGATCATAACAGTAAAAAAGTATCATCATAAATTATATTCCCTTGATTTTTGTACCCTTTTTAACATTTTAAAAGTGAAATTCACATTTTTATATATAGATTTAAAGCACGAAAGTTCTATGTAAATATCAAAGTTTAGGTCTTAGATAAATGTAAATACATATGAATTGAGTGCTAAGTATCAAAATTTCCCAATATAAACACAAATGTAGCATATGAATTCCTAAATACAGTAAGACTGCATTGTCTTAGCATGTATCTCAACATGTCATGCACAAGAGAACACCACCGCCTCTAAAGAGAATAAACGTTCATTCAAAATACTGCTCAGGCGCTAAGGTTTCAGCAAATATAGCATTAATAAACGATATAATCAAGAGAATGATAGCAGCGTTACCTCCAACCACATAAAAGGCTACAATCATGAAACATTGCTGTCTTAGTGACTTCCAACAATGGCTTAACTACATCTTCCTGAAATAAAGGAAAAACAAATTGATTCCAATCCCAAAAGAAGTGAAACAACCGTGAAATTGCAATTATCAGTTATAAAACGTCGTCCAACCTCACCGGATAAAAAAATTTAAAGGGTTTTTAAGAGAATTTGTTAAAAAAAAGTATTATGTATGCACAAGAGCTTTCAAGCACGCCAAATAATTTACAAATTAGATGCCGATCACAAGATAGATTTCTCTTCATACTTCAGCATTAAATGTCTTTCTTCTCAACGTTCATTAGGTGCTTGAAAATTTTCATGCATCGTAATGCTTAATAACCACTACCATCCACAAACCTTTTATTATCACTGTAATCATAATAAACTTGAGCGAAAAAGATGGTATAACTTCCAAGTATGTAAGGTTATAACAATGACACATTCTTGAGGGCTTACCACATCAATATGACACAAAATGACACGAAGCTTGAAGACCTTCTGCAATTCCCTTATTCGATAATACAAATATTCTGGATGAAGTAGATGATAACGTAAGCTGCGCATTGACAAACTTAATCAAAGAAGTTCAAATATTATAACATCAATGTTATTATAAAAGCAAACAAAATGATAAGAATAAAGACGATTAAACTATGGCCCCGATTGGGGCAGCTTATACGCTCCGTTTGCATTTCGAAAACAGATGAAATATTTTCAACCTTGCAAAATTAGGAATTTAAGATAACAAATCCTTAAGCAAAAGACATCAATGTATTATGAGTAGATTGCTCCTGAATGATTTAAGGCTTTGAAATGAGACTTAAAGCATGGCAGTAAAAGAAAAAACATAACTCAATCTGTTAACTTCTATATTAAAAAAAAGCATTCGAACTGACTGGCATCGGCTCAACTAAACCAACGCTAGCGATTTTGCAATTATTAAATGAGACGGCATCAAAAGGGGACAGACAAAGAGGAAAGGGCAAGAAAAGGCATGCAAGGTGCCAATAGTGTACATAGAGGGAGGAAAGAAAGTAGTGTGTGAAGGGGGAAACTGATACCATCTCAAGTCAATCAAACGTTAGAGCAGCACTCATGCACGATACAACTCTCATAGGAGATGATGCCGAGCAGGCTCTAACAGTGAAACAGCATCAATAGGAACCATGCGAGCAAGAAGATATGATGGAACAAGTAATGCAGGCTAATGCCAACCATGAACATGGTGGATATGTGAGATCAAGCAACGAACGATGAGAGACAGACGGCCTAGGACCATCGAGCGCATCGTGCAAAAGAGAAAGTCGAGCGTAGATCGAGCACGAGAAGGTGAATAATAGGAGCAAGCTATCTCGATCAAGGAGTGAATCAAGACGGCAAAGTCGTATGGCCAAGAGCTAAGTTAAGACTACGCGTAGGATTTCTAGGTAAATTTATCTTAATTTTAAATTTGTAAATACCTAAGGAACAAAATAAAAATAATTGAGGAATAGTAGGATAGAACTTGTAGACATATCAAAAATAAATTTATTGTTTGTATATTCAATATGGAGATATTTGAGATAAAATTATTATATTGTGTTAGATATTTAATTAGAAGTAAATAATAATAACAATTCATTTATTTAAATAGATAATAAAAATGTAGAATATAAAAAATATTAAAGCTGTATTAAAAATATTACTAATTGCTGAAATAATTAAGACTGTTATGCTCGATTAGAAACTTAATAAATTATAAATTTGATTAATACAATAGCACATAGGTAATAATAAAAAAGTATAATTAAAACAAAAGTATAATTGCAGTTAATAATAATTTTATAATATAATTAAAACTTATGAAAATTTAAGGTGATAATTAGCAAAGATTTATCAAGAGTAAAATTATAATAAGAATTATTTGAATAGGATTTATATGGAAAACCAAAACAAAAGAATTAAAGTTGTGTATTTTAATAAAAGTTTCTATATTAAAAATTTAATTAACTTAATATGTTATACTTAATTTGAAGAATTACAATCATTCATTAAAGCAACATAATTGAAATAGACAAATAAATAGATAAATATTATACAAAAATAATTAAATAATTTGACAAAATTTTACTAATACAGATGTTTCTAATATAATCATCATATATAGAAGCTTAAGTTGTAATAAAAAGATTAAAATAAAATTTTCTCAGAATAAGGTAAATACACTTACTCCTAAATTATAGTAATATTTTTACTTCTAAACTAACTCTATGGATAGTTAATGATGCTTGTATTCATTTATAAGAGTTTATTTTGTTTTATCTCTTCTTTTATAATATTGATCGATTGATATGAATGCTACAATTTTTTTAACATAGTGAATTATTATTATTATATTGAATGAAATGAAAATATGAATGATACGAACTATACAAAATGCTTGCATGTGTATATTAAATGGTGTTCTCCCCTCATATTAAATGGTGTTCTCCCCGTTCATTCCCAAAATTAGTTCTAGAATCAACAAAAGAGTGCTGCAGCAAAACAACAGTAGCACAAGTTTTGACTTCATAGCGGTTGGCTAGGCAACCTCACTTATAATATTACAAATAAAATAAATGTAAATGTAATCACTCAGTCGAACGAGGGAAGAGAAGGCGATGGGGTAGCTAGAACTGCTAAAAACAACAATGGGATGCTATTGCGCTTGACTCAATGAGATAAGGCGACAGAGAGCGATGTGGGAAGATGCGGAAGTAGATAGGAGGAAGATAATCATCACCTTAGGAGAGAGATACAATCGAAGTACCGTCGAATCCCTTGGATATAGCCCTCGAAGGGGAAAACGGATGTAGGTGGTTGTTCTGACAAAAATATGAATAGAACTCACCCAAAGCTCACCTTAAAGTATGTCGAATACAAATTTATATTAGTAGGATAGCAATGAGTGGCCCAAGTGGGCCGACCGACTCCACAACAATGAAAAAAACCTGGACAGATTTGATCCAGGTGTGAAAATGGCGACCCGCATTGGCTGCGGGACTGTAGGAGATATTATGCAAGTAAATATATAATATGCTTATTCCACTCTTCATACTCGACGGAATGTTGCTGACAAACTAATAAGTGAGGAGAAATGAACTCGGGTGAAATCTGTGGCAGACAACATCACTCTTACATGCAACCACTCAAAGAGATTTCTTTTTCACTGATAGAATCAAAATCCCATTAAAGAGTTTCCTTCCCCATCAGACTCCAAAGATAAATTCCAAAGTTAGGATTCATCTTTCTTGTTTCGAAATTTAATGATGGTCGTCATACTAAACTAAATTTAAAATCTGAATAACTCCCTGAAATCTTCCCGGCATGACATAAAAGAGCCTCATTTTTAAAATGCAGAACCTCCTTCCGTAGGGGCAACTCAAAAGACAGACTGTCTATCTGAAATTTTTGAAATCTTTTATCTAAAATTGACGTGCCTAGTATCGGCTCCTCAAGCTCATAGACCTTTTAGACATCCAAAGTCAATAATGTTGAAGTTCCTCTCAATGTCTGTCAAACGGTAGCTCGAGCCACCACTATCTCATACTCTACATGAACGCTCATTACATCAAAATCCCCACCTTCTAGAACAGCTATTATATCTCAGTTGGAACCTGTCGGTCAACTTTTTTTGATTGACTAGTTTAGATTTTGAAAATATAAAAATATGAAAATAATTTTTGAGATTTAATTTAAGTATAAGAGATATATATAGTTTGGGTTTTGAAAGTAGTATGTTTTAATTTTTTAAAAATGAGACCAAGTGGATCTCATTCGTCCAATAGTTTGCATAATCGTGTCTGATACCGCGAATATTACACCCTCCCGAAAGATAAGTGTAGACCTCGGCGATAGACCCAATCCTGCAAACTAAGAGATTTGTGACATCCGTTTAGTCTGCGAACCTTTTATATAGGACCGACAAGTTCCCCTATTTAATACAAAGATTAAATAGGGTTTATTTTACCTGAGTTCCAAGTTCCCTATAGAGGCAAGCCCCTATAGTTAATTACATCCCAAATGACGGGAATCATTTGAAAAAACTCTCGATAATGATCAATGGTTCTAGTCTTCAAGAATTCAAAGTTTAGGTTTTCAAGGTAGGACGTGGAAAGCTCAATGCGGAACACTTATTTTCAGGAGTCCAAAGGATGGAGAAGGTAGGGGATGTCATTAATCCGAGGTAAATCTCGGTGACTTCCCAGACTATCCTACGGTGTGACTACATTTTTTGAGACAATGTTAATTAAGTGTTTGAAACAGCCAGTTTTATTATTTGGGACTTACATTAGCATAATACCCGATTATGCAAATAACCCACAGAAATAAGAGGGTTTACGTCGTGTCACACGACAATCTCAAAATCTAAGGTGGGTTAGGACTTACGCTGCACAACATGGTTGTACAGGAGGTCAAAAAGGTAGTGAGGATTTATGTCGCACTAGGCGAGCTACCTCGAAGTCCTATGGGTTGTTATTATGCTAAGGAAGAGATAATGTTGAAGAAGATCTTCTTGCTACTCGGTCTGAATTCCTCGTCGTGCTACCCACAAAATTAGCTCCACTCTCCGGTCGTAGCGATGGCTCTAGGTTTTAAGTGTTTGAGATTGGTAGTTTGTGCTTCACAGTTTTGGTGTCAATGTTTGGTTTTGTTTTGTTTCAGTTTTGGTTTTGCATGGAGAATAAGCAAATCGCAGGTAAATAAAATGTACTTGAAATGTAAAATGCAATAAAGTAAAATGCTGTAGATAAACTGTAAAAGCGTACCTGGGCATCTCCTACTGTTGTGTTATTAATGTTGCGAGGATAACATGATTTGCAGGAGATTTAAATAAACTTGCAAGAAAATTAAACAAGACGAGAAAATCCAACGCGAAAGTCAGAAAAATGAGTTGTAAAAAATCACAAACAAAAGAAACCATTAGTCACATATGAAAGATCAGGACTGGGTGTAAGACATTGGTAAAAGTGGGGGCTCAGAGCTGGACTATGTGCTTCCCGACTTTGGGTAAGAGTTGTCAACCCGACAATCTACAGAAGGCGGTCCTTAAGCTCGATCTAAATGACTAACCATGGACTTTTATAAATTTCCATAGAAAGGTTTTCATGCAAAAACTGTTCAAGTTTTTTTTTATGTAGAGTTCTTTTTAACATGCAAAAGAAATTTTTATTTTATTTTTATAAATATTTTGTAAAGTCGTACAGTCCACAGATTAGTCACTCTAATCGTGCTAGAACTACTGACAACTTAAGAGTGTCGGGGTAACGATCTCACCAAGAATCAACAAATAGTATCATGGATCATTCTCTCTCTCTTATTGAAGATCTTTGATGTAGGAGATACTATTCTAATAATTTCACTTCGTATCTCTCGTTTAAGCACACATAAGCAATGTCGTCATTGCCCTCGCCACTTAGACCCTAGACTCATCCTAGTCCGATGATCCATATGTGGCGTTAACAAATTTCCCCAACTGCCAGGAGGATTTGAGTGTAATATTCAAGCTCAAATCCCGATGCATTGGGTTTCATTGTA